TCTATCTAAATTCGAAAAGAAATATTAACTATCCCATTTGAAAAATTGAAGGTGACCTTGATAGAAGAAGCAAAATAACATAAATTACAGTACTATGTGTCCGCCTGGAAGCCATGCAACTTCTATCTGATACATTCTTTTCGTACAACAAATATTTTATGAGTTATCTGATGTACGAGACTCGCCCTGTGAGAAATATAGAGAAATCCTCGTCTCTGTACTTTGAAAATCTCTGGGCGCAAATCGAATCGGCGAGAAGGGGAGGGTGGGCGACGAAGGAATTTTCGAAAGTTTGCCTCCGCGACCGACGTGCCGCGAGGTACACACACACGTGGCTCGACGTGAACTTCGAGCGACGCCCGGTTTATCTTTTTCGGGACGAGGCGTTCGAAAAACGCCCCAATGACGACGAAACAGAAGGCGATCGGAAAGTTTCGCGTAACTTCTTCGCCGAGTTTCCCGTCGATGGAGCAGAGAATCATATAAACGCCACGACGATAGAATTGGCTTGTCGTAGCGTTTTATATCAGTAAGCGTACGTGGAACTTGTTTGGAGAAACACGAGCGTGCCTCGAATTTTGTTTTTTTGTCATAGCGATATGCATCGATTCTTTAAGTTTCTTTCAGTTTCACTTCGTTCTGAGAAAATTACACGCAACTGCGTGCTAACGTTATCTTTAACTGCATCTGTCCAGCGACACACCGATGAATTCGAAAAAAAAAAAAAAAAAAAGAAAGAAGACGAATTACCGTATATACGGTAAATCTCGGTCACTCGTTACGGTCCGCAATCGGTTGCCAAGCGCAAGAGGTTAGGAAACCAAGCGACCGGATCGTCTCGCGTCGTCCTACGCGCAGGTTTTCTGATACTTTTCCTGCGTTCCCTACCACAAATACACAACAACAGAAACATCACTCGTCCAATAACCACATTACAAATACAGGTTAAAGGGCGGAACTAGGCAACTGTAGCTACCTCTGTAGGACGCGAACGAACGAACGAAGGAAAAAAAGAAAAAAAAAAAAAAACAACGTCTCGTGTCGTCGTTCTTTAAAAAAAAAAAAATGTTCGAACTCGAGCTGGTCGAATTGGTCGTGGTATTCATCGTCGTTGGTACAGTAGTTATGGCTCCTCGCTTGTACATACACGACCAGGTACACGTCCGCGCGTTCCAAAGGGTCCGCCTCGTCATGTACATACGGATAGACGGCGCAGATTCGCGACGCTCCGGTTACACGCGCGTGATAAAGAATCGCTCGATGGTTGGGAGGAGAATGGCAGAGACGAGCATTAACGAAATTGTTGTGGCGTCACCCATCCGCCCCCGCGCGCGCAACCAACCAACCTCCACCTACTCTATGCTCGATCGGTCCCCCCTCAAGCCCCCCCCCCCCCGTTTTCACCCTCGTCGACGTATGTGGCATTCCTGAAGTCCTCGCCGCGATATCGCCGTAGGGTTGATGAAATTGGTACGTTGATTAAATTGTTGCTCCGAGCTGTCGAACAGCCGCGACTCGCCGCGAGTAAGCGCCAGCCAGCCGATCGAACGTACGATGATAACGGGTCTAACCGCGCCGTTTAACCGTGCTGGTATTAATCATCCGAACCAAAGTCAACACTTTTCTTCTTTTTCGCAGATGCTAGACTGTTTCTCGTGTTCTTTAAGGGTGTATTCGTTAAGCGTGAAGTGCGTTTTTTTTTTGTAACTTTGTTAGGGAATTTCTTTTTGCAAAGAGACTGTTAAAGACCTTTTGCAGTCGAATTAACAGGGTTCATATATTTGGGACAAAAAAAAGTTAAAATTAGTGGCACACTCTCGAACATAGTCGCTTTTAAATAAATGGTCGTCTCACGGTGGCCATTCTGTCTGTCAGTAGTAAAAGAACGTGAATGTTGCTTAGTTAGCATGAGTTTGGCTGTAGCAGGTACCAAAACAAAAGAGAAAAGTCAGTAATTAAAAAAAGTGGCGACACTTTTGAACATCGATTATCGATTTTTGCATGTTTTTGTTAAATTTTAGGTAGCCTAGAAAAATATAAAAAATAAAATTTTTTTGGTAGGGGCTATAGTTACACATGTACTTGAAATTTTGAGTCAATTGGTCAAGTAGATTTTGAGATATCGTGGACACCGTTCTGAAGAACATAGTTTTCAGAAAAATGCCTTTAAAGTTTGGTATTGCTGGTCGTCGCGTCCTTCAAACAACCATAACTTCGTCAATTTTAGGAGTTCACACGTAACGTTACAGACATTTATTTTTGAAACTATGTCCTTTAAGAATATTGCAAAAAAAAAAAAATCGATTTTTTCAAAAGTACTCCCTTGATCAGTTAACTGACGTCGATCCAAAATTTTATTTAAAAAAAAAAAAAATAAAAAATTACCACTCACTTTGAAAGCTTCTCCAAATTTCACCGAGAAATAATAAAAATGATGGTATGGTTTCCTTTATGTTACCAATGAAACTGCTATATGTACTTTATAAAAGAAAACATTTGAATATCACGATACTTTCTTAAAATTACTTTTATCAAATTCGTTTTACATTGTTAAACATTGAAATTATTTTATTAAATTCGCTTCACTATTTCTCAAAAAATTTACAACAGGAGCATTTGCCCAGACGTCTATACTCGTCATTGCCTGATGTTATTAATTACGCATCTCGCGAGGAACTTTTAAAAACCGATTAACATAAGCGCACTCCTCTCTCTCTCTCTCTCTCTCTCTCTCTTCGTTTCATTTTCTTCCTCAATTTGTGCACGTGTCTGTTTCATCGATCGACTCGTCGAGTTCCTCCACGAACATATGACGAAATTTCAAAATGTTTTCGTTCGCGACACGAGCTTTCGTAAAAGAAAAAAAAAAAAAAATTACACTTTCGCAAGCGTAATTAACCTCGCAGCGTAAAGTCGTAGATCCCGTAGATTGGTAGACGAGAAATGAAGCTTTCGATATTTGCAATAACCCGAAAAGTGGTTGAAAAGCGGCTGCTGAACGACGGATGGTATTTTACACGTGCGCGGAAAAGGAAGCCGCGCATAGGTGTGAGCGTGTGGGCTGATACACCCACACGAAGGGACGCGGTTATACGGGCTGTGTACACCCTCTGGCTCCGTTCCGCCCCAATACCGATATACTCGATGTCGCGCGCGTATATATACGTACTTGCGCGGGATGTACAACGGCGACGACGTCACCGGCAGATAGGAAGTTTCGAAAGACGCTGCGCGCGCCCATTATCATCGCTCCCGCGCCCATTATGCGATCGCCAGCCCCCGCGACCAATCCGGATTTTCGTGTCGGCCACCGCCGATATCGAGCAACCTTCCTTTCTTTCTCTCCCCCCCTCCCTCCTTTCCTTTCCTTTTCTTTTGCTCTTACTGACTAACAATAAGTCAAAACGAGGGCAACGTTTGAAAATAAGAAAAGGAAAAAAACATCTATTTTGAACTCCGAATCCTGCACAGTTCGCGATTGTTGTTGTCCTTCTCTCTCTTTTTTTTTTATTTTTATTCGCTATACTACAGTCGGAAAAATAGGTAGAACGGTGGCGTGCCGCGTATCGAGAAAGGTTAAAGGTCGATGCGGAAATTGCTTCGAAATTTGCATTTCAAAAAAATCCCCCCTCCTCGTTTTCAGCGTTTCGGAGTTTTCATAAACGTGATTATTAATGTTCCGCTGATACTCGATAGTATCTGTTTTTTTTTTCAGTAAAAAAAGAAAAATTATTTAAATTCTTTGGTAAATTTAATTTTCGAAAATGTATCGCTAGACAAGAAATCGGGAAGAAAGTTTCCACTGATGTTGAAAAAAATTTCGATTCGATTCGATTCGATTCTTGCAGTTGAAAAAAAGAAAGAACGAAAATATACCGATGAGAGGTTAAGCGAGAAAGATTGCCCGATTCGGAATAATATGGTCGATAGGCAGGATGTTTCACAATGTACGACCATCGGCCGCGGAAAGCGAAAGGGATGAAAGAAGTTGCTGGAAATGTACGTGCTCTGACCTTGTTCCCGAGTTGCAGCGAGTAGCGTGATATATGGGTCCATCGTACCAAGGTCGTTCAAGGTCGTGAGCATAATAAAACCAGAAGTTATACCGAGCACCGAGTTCAAATACCCACCGACAACCGTGCAATTTCCAGCCTAAACAAACACCGTCTAATCAAACCACGTACATAACCTCTCTCCGTGGAATTGAACGTCTTACACCTTCGTCGTTTTACACCCTACGAACTACTGCTAATACCTGTGTAAACTAAACTAATCGTCAACGTCGTATCGTGCGACGTGACGAGGGGAAAAGATTAGAAAAACTCAAAGATACAAAAAAGTAAAATATTGTACACGTTGTAATAAAGGCACAGAAGAGTAAAAAATATTGTGCAGGTACACGTTGCGTAATCGTTGAGAAATTTTATAGTTGAACAGTCTCGTTCCACTTGTGAAAAACTTGTTCAACAATCGACGCCAGCCTTTCAAATCGAAATATCTTTTACTTACTTGAGAAAAATCGACAGCTAGCGTATTGCGTATTTTGAACATCTAAAAAATATAGGAACTTTTTAATAAACACTTGCATCGTTTTCTCTTTTTTAATTAATCAATATTAGACGAATATCTTGTAATATACAAAGGACGGCGATACCTAGTGCGTTTGCATAATATGTTACACTTGTTGTCTCTCGTACAAGTAACATATGACACGAAACGTCACAAATACACGAAAGTCTACAATGTACTGAAATTACCAGCGAGTGCAGAATTACGGGAATTCGATCGTTAAAACAGGAAAACAAACCGTAGAAACGTTCGGTCTTACCGACTGACCTAACCTCATCGCACGGAATTGTTCCCAGTGATCGACGCAAGATCGATGGCCACGCTTCGAGATTAATCGCGCGTGACTCGCGACTGCCGTTTCGACCGCGATTGCAATGCGATTGTATGCGCGCGCACGCAACGGAAACGACGCCACCCGGCCGAGTTTTATAACAATAACAGGTGCGAGGTGGCCAGAGGTTGCGAAGCGTGATCGCACGAACGACGCAGCGGAGAAAGCGGGAGGAGAACGTGGGAGGAGTAGGAGAGCTCCCCTTTCGCGGGTTTGCTCGGTAAACAAATTATCATTCTCCGAGTTTGATCGTAAATCACGTTTCCGAGCACCGGAGTCACTGCTCCGTTCGGGTATTAAAAAGCCGATTTAAACGTTTCGCGTCTCCAATACAGCCTCTCCCGTACCTTCGTAGGAAAATGTAGGTTATGTTGTTGTCAATATTATTGCCTTTTTACGACGTTATTTATAATTCTCTTGCCTATCATTACTGCCACGTTGCATAGTATATTATTCTTTTATTAATTATATTATATGTCGTAGTATATTATTGTTGTATACACACGAGAATAAAACTATTGTACATGCACAGGGATATATTGGTACGACTGTGTGAAATTCAAAGCTCTCGTGATGGGCTAATAGATGGCAAATATATATACAGCAATACTGAACGAGATTTTCTTGGAAACTCAACGTTAAAGAAGTCTGAACCGATGCTGATATTTTAAAGAGAACGTGCTTCTACGATCGCACGTACGTTCGATCACGACGTGATCAAAAATAGACAAATATCTCTCGAGGTAAATCAAATTCTTTCCACCTACGATTTCGCGCTAATTTGTCGCATAACCTATAATTCACCATGCATACATCGTACTGACATATGTACATACCGACGTTCAAGGTATAAAAGATTGGAAGTGAGAGACGTGTTCGATCACCACATGTCAAAAATAGACAAATATCCCTCGATGTAAATCAAATTCTTTCCACCTACGATTTCGCGCTAATTTGTCGCATAACCTATAATTCACCATGCGTACATCGTACTAACAATACGTACATATCGATGTTGAAGATATAAAAGATTGGAAGTGAGAGATGCCTCAGGACAGAGCGTTCTGCGAACGACTCTGCCAATCCATTCTTTCGGATCGTAGAAGAGCGTTCCATCGCCGGGGCGGAATCGCCGAAATACCGTGACCTAAAATAGTTGGCCTCGCGGAAAATTTTGAATGGCGATCGACTGGCCGGGGATCGTTCTAGAAATACTTGGAGATGGTTCCCTCCGAATAGAAACCGATCTCTCGACCACGGGTGACGGGTTGAGCGCGCCTGTTGAGAAAGCTTCGAAAAGATCGATCCACCGGGGCAAGATGGATCGATATCGAGCGGACCAGCTGACGGTGTGAACGTTTCCGACTCCGGGGGAAAAATCCTATAGGACGAACAAAGGCGGTAAACCAGGCTATGCGGAAGAAAGGAAAGGGGAAAGGGTGAAACTCGAGGATGGAAGAGGATGGGAGGGGGAGAGGAAAGGTGGTCGGAAAACAAGCGTCCGCTCGCGTCTTCATCGAAAATACAGTAGCCAAGGCTTTGGCGGCGAATACGAATCGTTGACCAACGTGTGTGTGTGTGTGCACACGCTGTATATATATATATATATATATATATATATATATATATATAGAGAGAGAGAGAGAGAGAGAGAGAGAGTGTGTGTGTATATATGTATATATATATATATAGGGCAGTATACGTAAGTATAGCGTGTCGCGAGGATTCTCGTTTCATCGTCGAAGGAGAGGAAGCTTTACCGCCAAAAACCACACCCACGCGGTCGTTCCCTTTGGGCGGGAGATTTTCACCGATGTCCTATAGCTTCGTACGAAGAAGCACGGTTGCCTTCGGTGTTCACAGTTGTGTGTGCGGGTCGCTCCTGAAAAATTTCGCAGCCCTCCCTCCTTGCTTCTTCCTCCACACTTCCTTCCTTCCTTCCTGCACACCGTCGTTTCGTTCCATCGTCGTCGTCGTCGTCGTCGTCGTCGTCGTCGTCGTCGTCCCTCGATAACCCGGGTTAAAGCCATTTCCCAGCTAGGGCTTGCCCAGCGCCCGTGGTCTCTCATATACGCTACATATATCCAGAGAGCAGAGCGCGGTTCTCTCTCTGGGACATACCGGGTTACGAAGCGGGGCCAGGCTACCAGCAGTGGCGGCGGCAGCAGCAGCAGCAGCAGCAGCAGCAGCAGGCAGCCAGGCAAAGAGACAGGCAAAGATAGCCAGCTAGTCAGCCAGTCAGCCAACCAACCAGCCAGCCAGGCAGAAGCAGGCAGAGAACCAGCAGGCAAGCAGGCAGGCAGGCAGGCAGGCAGGCAACACGGGACTTTTGGGACGCGTTGTACATGGGTCGCGTCGCATCGTAGGTTCGCGATGGGTTGGATACATAAGGGGGAGGATAGGGGGAGCCTCTTTATGTAGCACATAGACGTTGCCTGGCGTTCGTTCGTTGCCGCTCGCTCGCTCGCTCGGCGTGTGACGCTCAAATTACCTCCGTCCTCCCTGCTACGTCTCTCCCCCGTCGCGCGACCCCCCTGCCCAACCCCCTTTCTCTCCCCCTCGCTTCGCCAGTCCGCGTCGCGCCACTCCTCTCGCTCTTGCTCTCTACTCTCTCGCAGAGCCGCAGTCGCCCGTTGCTGCGGCTCACCCTCTTCCACCTCCGTCCTCTCCTCTCCTCTCCTCGCCTCTCCTCGCCTCTCTGCGCTCTCCTATGCTCCTCTTCTATCGTCTCGTCCTCCTTCGCTGCCACCCTGCTTCGTCGTACCGACTCTCCCTCGCGTCACAATCTCTCTACCATTCCCCCCCCCCCCCCCTCCCGCCACCCTTTTTCTCTTTCTTTCATCTTCTTCTTCTCCTTTCCCTTTGCCTCGTCCACCTTTCTCGTTTTCTCACTCCTTCTTTTTTCCCTCGTTTCTCTCATCGTACCAATTTCTTCTCCACAGAATCCGCCGATAGCCGTTACGACAGCTTCCCTCTACTTCAGCTCGCGACGCAACACGTCAGCGAGACCAGAAGCCTACCCACCGAGGAGTGCCGCGCGGTCGTTTCGCATCTATGCGCTTCGAACCGCATCGTGGACCATCTGTGATCGGATGGAAACACCGAGGCGACCAACACCGATTTTCCCTATATATATATATATATATATATATATATATATATATATATATATACGTACCGTTCTTTGTTCCCTTTCGTTCCATCCTTCTCTCCTACCCTCTGACGTGTTTTCCGTCTCTGTTCGCGCAACCCTATACAGGACGAAATACACGCGCTTCGTCAGTGAGACTCCGCCGGAGAGAATCCAGAGGGAAATAGCGTGCGCGAGCGAGACACACGTACATCGGGGCAGAGACAGAGACCGACAGAGAGCGATAGAGAGAGAGAGAGAAGGATGGAGGAGGAACAGCGTGGCTATAACGCGACACGCTAGAGGAGAGCTTTGCGGGTCTGAAACGCGGCCAGCGCGGCAGACAGGCACCGCGGGTCACCGCCTTCCCTCGTCCACCTTCTCCTTCCCCCTCCCCCACCTCCTCCTCGCCCAACCCTAAACCGTCACCCCCTGTGTCTTCCTCATCCTCTCTATCGCACCATCAACTCCATATATCTCTCTCTCCCGCGCTCACCCGTCTCCGGGACGCTCCACCTCTTTCTATCTATCTTTACCGTTCGCCGTGGCGTTCGTTGTTCCGCTTCTCCTAACGAGGAGCCAACGAAAGCCAAAGAAAAGGCGGATACGCGTGTATAAAGAAAAGGAAAAAATGGAACGGGAGAGCGGAGAGACTGAAAGGAAAACGAGAGAGAGACAGAGAGAGAGAGAGAGAATGTTTCCGGCTTCGTCTGGTGTCTTTGTCTAACAGAATCGCCGCGGCCCGAGTCGTCCAAACGCGAAACGTTCCCCCCTCCCCCCCCCCTATTCTGCCCCTCGCGCAGCCCCTTTGTTATTAGTCCGCCGTGTACCACCCTAAATACAGTCGCGCAGCAAACGGACAAATTTCGCGAGGACTACCAACGCTGTTACGCGAAGCGCGGCACGAGGCTGAAAGGGGTCGGGGTAGTGGGGAGAGGGAGGGGGGGGGAGCGCTGGGCTGGGAAAGAGCGGTGGGGGAAGCGAGGGGTCGCAGCCGAGGGAGGGTGGCGCGTGTCCTTCCCTCGGCTTTCTTATTTTTCCTTCCACCTCCCCCCCCCCTCCCCCCGCCCCTCGTCGCCTCGCTGCCTGCGTTCCCCCCTCCGTAATTTACCGGTGTCTTGGGGTGCGTTCGTTACGTAATTACGTGCCGCCTCGTCCGCTCGTAAATGGTTTATAAGGGAAAGTCGAGCGGCGATCGCGAACCATCCCTGGACGTGCATACAAGCGAGAAGCGTAACTGCACCAAGCGACGAACGAAACATCGTCGATAATGTACACTGATGTACACATCTACCATTCGACGTCTGCGTTTTCTCATTTTGAAATCCTGCGAAAGCCTCGATACTTCGATGACGTCGTGAGTTTTTTTTTTTTTTTTTAAAGATGGTTTCACATCCGGCAGAGGATGAAACATTGCAATTTTTATCAAACGTTGCAAACGTTCAAACGTTGAGAAATTTTTTGTTTTGTTTTGACATTCGAGGTGCGTATTTCCTCACTTTGAAACGCTGCGAAGCCTTCATTTCGACAATTGTGTCTTTTCCCTTTTACACCTGGTAGAAAGGGAAATACTTCTTTTTAACGCGTTGAGAAATTTTTTTTTCAGGTGACTAGGTCTACCGTTGTTTTGAAAACCAGAGTCTCCTTCTTGATACTCACTGTACGATTTTTTATCAAACATCAACGTCAGACGAATATGAAAATTCGAGAGATTCTAACGTTGCGTCGTCCAATCCTAATGCCTCGAGTTCAGTGTAAATGGCAAAATGGTAAAATTTTCAATCTTCAAGACCAAGTGTGGTAGATGAAAAAATTTTTCCGAGGTTTTCACACGTGTTTGAATTTTTACAATTTTTCGTGAACAAAGCGTGTCCTCGCTGCACGATGTAAAAACATTTTTGAAAAAAAAGAGAAAAAAACACGAATACATACACGACTGTCAAAGTGGAAGCTTCACACTTTACAACGAGATCAAGTAGTAGATCTTTCTTCACGAAGTTATATTAGCTGAAATTATCGACAATTTTTCACCGTCATTGATAGAGTTGTGCTTCACTGTACGTGCACGTACGGTAGTTTAAACTTCTTTTTTATTAGGATTTAATCGCATTGCAAAACGAAGAGTTGGTAGTTCGATATTTAACGAGTGAAAGCAGATGATTAACGGAGGCAAAATGTTTCTTTGGCGAAATGAGGAAGGGAACGGTGGGAGTACGGCGCCGTATTTGCTTCGTGAAGCTCGAGACGCGGGTGAAAACGCAGAGATAACGAAGAAAACGGTTGGTGTGTTGTTGCTAAATTTTACAACTAACCTCCATATTGAACCGATCGCCAGGTGCGGAAATTCGCCCCGAACGGCGAATAAATCCCAGCGCTGGACGAGAGAGTGACGGTCGCAAAGTCCACGAGCCGCGAAGAGAGACGCTCGAAGGAGGGAAGGAAAAGAGGTAGCAAAAGACGCACGAGCAATAAAACGCGAAGAAGGTGAACTACGGTATTCTCCCTTCTTTTTTTCTCTGTCTCCCTTTTTTTTTTTTTTCTTCCTCCTCCCCCTTCCCCTTCCCCTGTCGTCCGCCCTTTCCGTTCGTTCCCCGGCACACCGGCTCGCCGTCGTGCGGTCGCCTGCAACACGCGTTTCACGGCTGTGTTCGCCGTATAATTGCGCTCGCGGTGCATATTCGCGCTCGCGCGGCTCGCACGGACGAGCGAGTCTTTTTTTGTTCCCCCCCTCGTGTCGGCTTTTGTGCAGCGAGAAAGCAGCAACGGGCGACGGCGGTGGCAGCGGCGACGACGACGGTGGCGCGGTGGCAACGGCGAGGGAAGGACAGGAAGACAGAACGGAGCCGAGAAAGTAAATCGAGCGGATATATCGCGGCGTTAGACCGCCTCTCTCTCTCTCTCTGTTTTTCTCTGTCTCGCACGCGCGCCCCCTCGCTCTTTCTCACCGAAGCAAGCGCTACTACTATTTTCTTCGGCGAAGAACGCGAGAGAGCCTCGCCGATTGATCGTTTTGCGAACGCCGCGCGCTGGTGCGCCTTGGCCACCGCCTGTGATCCATTGTCGTCAACCGTGTTCTCAACTTCCGCCGTGTTGCCACCGCTCTCTGCCCTCTCCACTTCCCGTTCAGGCTCAACTTTAGCCCGCTGGATATTTCGGTCGAACGACTCGTCGATCCCCCTCCCGTTTTTTTTTTTTTTTTTTTTTTTTTTTTTTTTTTTTTTTTTTTTTTTTTGGGTTTTTTGTTTTTTTTTTTTTTTTTTTTTTTTTTTCATAGGTTAGGTTCTCGCCGTTCCCGATAGATCGCGACAGATCGTTAAATTCGATTCGGATTAACGTCGTCTCTACTATCTGAAATTAAGCTACGTAATGGAGAAGCATCGTGTTGGAAAGTAACAAGTGTCCAATGATTCACAAAACGCTGGGGAGATGAGCGCCGCACGTACGTATGTATGTATGTACGTATACACGTATGTACGATACTCCGTAATTCACGCATTGACCAATGTACCGTTTATCGTCTGACTTTAAATTCAAGCAACACGTAGCAACGCGCCGCGTAATCGCGTCGCAGCTTTGCACGCATTTACGCATGGGAACAGAAAACAGAATGGATTTGTTGATCGATTTTCCTATTTTCCTGACCTCGATTCGCCGGCGAGCGATTAGCACAGAGGAAGGGCAGAAGGGAGAAGAGCGTGGAAAACAAAATGGCAAATTTTCGCTGGGGAACACTTTCGTCATTAGCGGCGATAATTCTCTCATAGCCACGCTGGATGGCAATTAAGCATTGCGCCGCGTCGTTCTTTTAATACCACCGGCCATTACGAAATAATTTCAAGGGGAATATATATAGTGTAAATATATATATATATATATATATATATATATATATATATATATATATATGTGTGTATATATATCGGCGCGCGTTAGGGTGCCTTTCTCCTCTCGTGGGAAGTCTCGGACCACGAGGCACGAAGGAATCGATCGATCGATTCCGTTGCCGGCTGCTATCCCGGATAATAGCGGCGGCGCACCGCTCCACGGTCGACAAGCGAAAAGCGGAACAACCTAAATACCACGAAACGCGCCCAGAGTGTATATATATATATATATATATACACACGACCGGCAAAAATCCTCCTGCTTCATTGTCTCCCCCCTCTCCAACCCGCCCCCCTCCCCCGTCAAGCGACGGATCGGATCGCTGCGAAACACCGTCTCCATCGGGAGATCGAGATGCCCCCGTGTAAAATTTCTCACCGTCAAAATAAAATCGCTCGTATCGTCCAGCGAAATCTAAGGCTCGACATTATCATAAGGTAGTCCCATGATTAATTATCGTAGTTCGATGACAAAATTTCCAATTGAAAGCTCGGTCGTGGTGTTTAGGTTAGGTTTTCAAGAATTTGCCAGAGACACCGGAGAATGACTTTACGAGCTGCGTAAATGGGCAGAGAAGATGGGCAGAGTTGATCGTAGAAATGCAGGTAAAGAATTTTAAAGACCTAACTTCTGCAGTGATTCGACCACTCTTTTCGCGTAAACGTGAACAATCGAACGACACAGATCTACAACACGAATTTCCCTAGTTTTTCAGCCATTCTTTTTCGCGCGAACGTAATCAAACGACGCGATAATCCCCTAGGTGAGAACTTTCTCCAAATGTCACTGACAAATTCCTCGAGTGACAAGTTCACAGAAACGTTCCACGCGTTTAACGAAGTAACGCTTAACCTCATGTGCTGGAATGACGTGCCACGCACGTCGAGAATTTTTTGTCCCAAAATTGCAATATTTCCTCAGTTTTAAGTATATTTAAGTATAACCCGGGCAAAACAAATAATAAATTTATCACATCTCAAGTATTTTTATCCAGTGATGTACCGACAAAAGTTCGAAAAGAAAGCGACGAATTATTATTGTGTACGGTTTTGGTCACTCATTATGGTCCGCAATCAGTTGCCAGCGCAAGTGGTTAAGGCGTTTTAACAGAACTGTGTTCA